AGCAAGATGGGCTACTCATACGTGCTTTTGGGCCGTTCGAGAGAGCACTGTTCCCACGTTTGATATCAGCGTTCGTTCGGCCACACACGGAGTACGCCATTCAAGTAAGGAATCCATGGTTGAATCGCGAAAAGGAGGCTCTAGAACGTCATCAAACGTTGGCAACAAAACTGGTCAAAGGTCTGTATAACAAGACATTCTCCAAAAGACTAGTCATTTCAATACCGCTGACTTCGGGGGACCTAATTCTGATACGTCACGTATTCAAACAAAGACAAAATAGACTCCAATGGACGGATGTTGAGATTTGCAAAGGCCATAGTAGTGAAGCGCCAAGAGCCTCTTTTTTGTCATCAAAAGGATTACATCAGTCTGGCATTACTCCAGTAACCATGTAAGCGGAAGAGTGAATTGATACTATGTTGGATAATCAACACCTGTGATATGTAAACTTTTTTGGATTCTGCAGTAGCACCAGTTGAGATGCAGTAAAGTTATTCCGGAATAAAGTCTTACTCGTTTGCAGTGTTGTGTTATTTGTTCAAGTTTTTTTCGGGATATTATTGCTTTATTATCACATATGGCATCAACCCAACCTTCCTTGTCGTTCTATTCTGACTTTATCTCAAAATGATCACCTCAAGACACATCCAATAAAGTTGAAGACCCAGAACAGACAGCTTGATTGCCGGGATCACTCATGTGCGGTCAGAGAGTGCGAGGTAATAAATTCTCTTACATCCCATGTAGTGCGTGCTCCTACAGTTGAACTATTCAAATCACAACTTCATACAGCATTGGAACACTTTTTACATCCGCGAGTGATTACTCATATTATTATTCTTATTTTATCTTTGTAAAGTTATTCAAAACATTCTGTAAAATCCCTATGAAGCATGATGAGCTTCAGCTTTGTTAAATCGGCTGTAATAGGAAAATCCGGAGAGCATTTGAGCAATATAGGTGTGCATTGATCAAACGAGTAGTCAAAAAGCGCATGATTATTAGTCCGTTTGAAATGTCGGAACTATCCTTTTCCTTTGATCCATTGCGAATGTACCAAGTAGCACAATGTCAAGAGAACGAATATTTACCAATAATTAGGAGTGTTCTCAATCAGCTGTCTGAACACATTAGAAAGATAAATTTGTTATCAGAAGAATATTGTGTATGTTAATTAGTACAATTGAATTCATTCCAACATAAATATTTTCGTTGTTGATTACTTTTATATTGAATTATTGAAAAACTAAAATATGGTTAAAAAGAGTCAAAAAGAGGAAACGCTGGCAAAAGCAGTAATGCAATGAAAACCAGTGAATCGCGGATGAGCCTTGCAGATGTTTGCGCATTACCAAACAAGAGAACACTTTAGCTACTATTTATTTCAAGAGAATGCAAAGAAGTAACAGAATCAACCATTATTCGACCAAGTGGGCCAAATGGCTACGTAATTAGGAAATAAGAATGATGAATTATAAACGATGGGGTAGAACTAGGTTGATCCGAGGGGAAAGGAGAACGGGGTAACACAAATCAATTCCCATGGCAGTAGCAATTGCATCAGGAGAGCGTTTTGGACACATAAACCAGGCAAACAAGCAATGATAGCCGCTTTGGGAAACCTAGGCACCCTTGTGTCTTGCAGTTTTAGGATAACATGGAATAATTCGAGTTTGTCAGTGCAGTAATCGGTACCCCACAAAGGTTACGCCATTGAGCTTGGTGGACGTTCGTCTCCTCAAAATTCCACGTCTTGCGGAACATGCTCACTGATTCCGATCACGTTCCGCCGCTCGATCCTCCGGACGTACCGCCATCCGTTAGTTCAATAAACATGATGGATGCAACTGGGGGTGATTATATCGTGGGACAATCACTGAAGATGTCAATTAGGCGGGTTTCGAAACGTTTGCAAACGAATTGCCAAGTTATACCAACAGGGGAAAAGGAACCGTTNTCCATGTTTGACTGACCGATTTCTCTATCTCCTGTTGAAGTGCGGGGGCTTTGGTCACCCACGCCTCAAGTCTCATTGCATACATATCGGTTGTTTATCTTGCTATTACGCGTATGCCTCTGTGTGTGTCCCCATCCGCGGATACCAGTGAATCTGCTTGATTCCCAACGGTTTGAGTATACCTTGGGTCTCTAGCGTCAGTTTCTGTAGTGGTATACACGATCTAGATATCCATACATCACTGGAGTTTTAACACTCAGCTGCTTAATCTCTCATCAAGCATAGGGAAGGAANAAGATTATCGGAACACAGAATCCAAAAGGAAATTGAACAAAAGCCCTGTTTCACGAGGCCAAACACATTCCGGATCATCCGAAACGCGTTCACACTCCTAGCAGACCCGCACTGCTTTTACTCATATTTGATCACATCTACGGGTTACCCTATAGTACTCGGATGAACATGCTTCATAAAACGTTGCGCCGAAAAAATGTCTTCCCCCTTTTCAGATCCGCTAGCCTAGGTAAGATCATGTCAGGAACACAGGTTGTTTCATCCTTTGTTTAACAATGCCTGATATTCATCAACTGATACTGTGCCTCCATCGTTTCCCATGGATTGACTGCAAGAACTCTAAAATACTGAGTTGTGGTTCAGCTATGATAACCAAAAGGGGTTCTGTTCTTCTAATACTTACTAACATATCGAATATTTTTACAATTTATGGTTGTTGGTGGTTTCGGTAATTACCATTCTAGAAACGACCACGGTGGTGTTCCCATCGTGAACCTGAATCGAGAAATGCGACAATGACAATACGATTGTTTGAAGAAAGTTTGCACCTACTATTTGTGAATGGCATACGTCAACCATAACTCACCCGGTTTACTTTGTGTGGTTGTAGTGTGATTCTAGCGATAAATATTATCAAATTCGATCCCAATTTTAAACTTGTATTTACCGTATACCGTAACTCTTACAAAAATTATGGCAGCCCTTGTTACGTTATTTCCATTGCAGTTGATTGGATAGTGATATCTCATTCCGTTCCGAAAATAGGGCCAAAATCATTTTGATTGTTCAGTGCTTGAAGGTGTTTCTTCTGTGGTGGTGTCACAGAGATGAATTATGACCTGAAAGTGTCGAACTAAATGGATGTGAATCAGGTTAATACTGATGTGTATATCGATCGAGCATGATCTGTTGGTGTCCCAGTGCAGCCGCTTGAGGTGTAACTTATGAATTCTATTGCAGCATCATGCGATACCGGTAAACGATGGCTCAAGCGTTGATCGCGTATGATTCAATGGTATCAGCGGATGGGGACACACACAGAGTCATACGCGTAATGGCAAGATAAACAAACGATATGTATGCCATGAGAACTGAGGCGTGGGTGACCGGAGCCCGTCTCACAATCGTCCCCCGCGGTTCAACTGGATGTAGAGAAATCGGTGTTGTATGGAAGTCATCCAGACATCGCTGGGGGGCTTGTCAGCATTGGTGAGGTCAACGCGACAGCCTGAACTAATCCGAGGACATCTTGAAATTATATTGGGACAACTTAAGACAATCGCCAGACATCTTAAAACAATGGTCAGCCGACTTGAAATGACTCCCGGACATCTTGAAATGATGCGAGGACATCTTGATATGATATTGGGACAACTTTACTAGCATATTCATAAACCTTTACCACTGCTCCCTAACTAACACTTTAGCGACACCACAATGCAAGGAAACAATTTCCAAATAAACCAATATATCCGTCAACTTCAGTCAAATTCCATCCGAAATGATCAACGTTCGTGCAAATGGAACTGATATTTTCTGCCATTCAAATAGGTAATCTGTAGTGAGGACCAATATAAACTCTGCTCGTATTTCATTAAGCTGTTTTGTTCAGCAATTGAAATCATCTTCCGTTTCACTCAGGCTCTTTCTGACATCTGCTTTTCCCTTATAAATATGGTGAAAACCGTTTACTAGGTTATTATAATTGCCAAATTAACTGGCACAATTTTCCGCCACCTAATGCTGATTGGTTTGCAATTACTGACGGTTAGGAATCAATCAAATACATGATTTGGAATAGCAAAGGACAAAGGTACCGTTATCATTTCAACATGCGATATACTACATGAACACTTCAAACAAGCTTTAATTAAATGAGCGTTTTGTCGTAATTATGTTTGTGGCAATTGTGAATGTGTTTGTGCCTCTATAGAATCAATAACAATTAGATATTTACAGTGTGTTATGTGTAAACAATTTACCAGTAATAATCACATGATTTAACCTTTCAAAATCGGACATCTGTTCCCATACATTTCCTTCCCTGGACATTCACAGTTGGAACTCCAATCTCGCGTGGACAGTTGTATGATCCGTGAAATGTTTGGGCGGATGAATAGGAAAATGGTTGCTAGATGGATGGACATACGGACAGGTAGCAAAACTACCGTGAAAATGTCCGGGTTGATAATCTACCAATCAGCAAGCGCTGCCTATAGTTCCGTAGTCCGCTAATGTCAAACCTGGAACAGAGAACGAATGAGCTACAGGTATGGATAGATATGGCACAGACTGTGATTGCATGTCCAGTTTCATTTTTTGCCATAGAGCCGTTTGGCATAGCCACATATGGTTTCTCGTCCACCAATATAAGAAACATTCGCTCATGGTTTTCAAAATATGTGATGATACATCCACGGTCACAGCTTCCCAACTGGAAAGAGGGCCTCGATGTGCAAACGAGTCTCAGTGCGCAACGAATTCGGCATCTGTCTGTAGCAATACCCCATCGATCTATGATACAGAATCAAATCCACTCAAGATGTTCTCAACAAGGTTGGACGGATTTTCGATGAACCCGGAATTCGCAGATATTACTGAAATGTTGAACAACAGAAACGATGGCGATCCCGACAACGGCAGTAATAACAATGATGATATCGACAACAGCACTCACATAGCAATCAGTAGGGTCAATTGTCTGGTTGATTCATCATCCGCCCAAAGTGTCGGTTCAACGATGCACATGCATCTTTCTCCCAATGGTACAGACAATGTTAACTGTTCCCTTTCCAAACGTATTGGCAACAGTAACACGGTGCATACAACGGAAAAATATAAAGCGCCACTCATTCAATCAAAGAACGAAGCGGACATCGTCTCCAAATCTTGTCTGTTCACCACAGCTTACAACAACCCGGGTACCGTAAATAATGGCAGTAGTAATTATTGCATAAAACGTCCAAAAGCAAAAGACCGAAGCCACAAATGTCATCGGAAAGCATGGACATGTTTTTATTTCAGCCCGTCTGGAAGAGGATTGCATCTGTGGTGCGGAGTAATCAGCACTGTTGTGGTTTATCACTTGTGGGTAATAATTTACCGTTATGTGTTTTCTGAAATTTGTCGTCACAATGTTCATATTTGGTTTCCTCTGGATTATTTAGCTGATTTTTTGTACTTGGTCGACATGATTGTGTCCATCCGAACAGGGTTTCTCGAGGACGGTGTCATGCAGTTTGATTCCAAACGAATGAGAATACACTACATCAACTCGACCCAATTCTATGTGGATTGCCTCAGTCTGCTTCCATTGGATTTCCTCTATCTATCGGTCGGATTCAATTCTATGCTGAGGATATTTCGTCTTTGTAAAGTGTACAAATTTTGGCAATTTCTTGATCGAGCTGAACGTCATTCCACTTATCCAAATGTGATGCGATCAGCCAAGTTACTTTTCTACTATCTTACCATATTGCACTGGAATGCGTGTGTCTTTAGGCTCGTGAATGATTTCTGTAATGGACTGTGGGATCCAGCTCTCACCAAAAGACATACGGATATAAATAAAACCGCTATATGGAATACGAATGACTCTGCACTGTTAGACAAAGAGAACAGTTCACTACTGCTGACCGATCATGCTATGAACGACCATATTTATGTACACTCCGTTTACTGGGGTCTGATGTCACTGATTTCCATCGGTTCGTTGCAGAAACCAAACGGTTTAATTGCGTATATGTTTCTAATTAGTCAAGGGATTCTCGGTGTGCTACTGTTTGCCACAATACTCGGTCACGTGTGCAATATTGTGGCGCATGTCAGCGCTGGACAGAAAGAATTTCAAGGTAAGCATTGTGTTTGGTTCGGGTTATTTTAGAAATATCACAAAAGACTCTGATAATATTGCATAAACTGTTGACCTCGGGTTAAGTTGATCAAAAGGCTGAGACTTTCCTAGCAGTGTCAAGTGAGCCGGCAAGGATGTGTGCATGCACAAGTTTCCGTAACTTATCTGATTTCTTCTTCCTTAAAATAGTAAATCTTATATCTACCTTTGCCACTCTATTGTTCGAATTTGAAGTAGTTCCAGACTATCCCGATTCAAAACTGTATACCGGCTTCGAACATTACTTATTTGGATTAAGTTTATGAAAAATCTTTACGGATGTTCCAGGCATTCTGTAGGTTAAAGAATATAACAATGTTACATACGTTTCCATTTTAATTTAAATATCATGCTGATGAAATGCTTTTCTCACGCATATCGATAGGGATTTTTAATGCTGTTGTGAATGACTCTTATATTTGAGGTTGCAAGTCGTTTGGCTTAGGGGTACCAACTGATTTTGAGAGTAATGGATGAACTATTTTCGGGTCTGGAGAAAGTTATTAATAGCCACGCTAGCTGGCACCCTTTGAAAGTAAGTAAACAACCTGAACCAAGATATAATGCATATATATATATATATACATCTGGGAATTTCAAGGGAATAACGCGAAAGCTTGTTCTCAGCTGACTATCTGATGAGGAACTGCAAATCAATATGTCAAACCCGCTGCGTTATTGTTTCTAATCGATACTTGGGCACCTTTTTGTGTCTTACACTCTAAGTAGTTGGACGACCTCAGGAGATTGTTGATGTTGTTTAACTCAGAACAGTTTCCATGAACTTAGGTATTTGGAAAATTGACAAAACACTCTACCATGCTATAGATCATACATTTTCATAGTTATTAGCTTGAAATACGGTAGCTTGATAATTCCTGAAAAAGATAAGTTATCGCATTAAGCCAGTATCGTCAGTGTATAGCATCTAGCTGGACAAAACCTACAGGGTCTTCTTCATTTTAGTTAAACAAGATGTTCATTACCATGCTTGAATCGAATCCCTACGACTCAGTTACTCAAAATCAGAAGGACATAAGTGAATGATTGCTCTTCAGCAGTGGTAAATTAATTATTTATTTTATGGTGGATCAGAAAGGAAGGTAAAGAATTGTACGTGTTAGCTGTTTTATAAATTAAAGTGGATTACAATTAACGTGACTTTGGTTAATACTTTTGTTCAAGCTTATTTCACCACAAATCCTTTACAAACAAGGTTATCTTTTGACACATACAGTCGTTTCCCTTTTATTTATTTCGTAAAAAGATCGAATGCTTATATAATGCCTATCTTGACTGAAACGGTTAGTTACCACGACTAATGTGCCTAGGTTGTCACGTGACCAGGTTTTACATTAATTAATGTATATATGCATCACCACTCAAGATAGCTAACTTGCCTCTCAAACAGGATATGCGTTATCTAAACACAAAAATAATGGAATAATAATACTGTGAACAAAGAAAATTAGCATTTTTGTTCATTTATTGGGCACAGAAACAGCAATGAAATCAAACTGATGTAGCGTGGTCAGCAGAGCAACAAAATGTAGCGAAATTCCGTAAACGGGCGAAGTAAAGGCATTGCAAATTAGTTAAATGATAGCGGCATCGAAAAACCGACGTCTTTGAATCGTAACTTATTAAGATAGTTTCCTTATATACTAATCGCAGACCTATTTATGATCACTTAGGACACTGAAAACGTCAGAATATGTATACTGAGTTTAAACCCTGAATTCACGGGAGGTTAGGCATCTTGACTGTTTTTCACTCCTGGTTGTAGTATTCCTTCAGGGCTTGTTACTTTTCCGAATTGAGGTTTTTTCAGCTTATTCCCAACGAATTCAAATTTCAATAGAGGGTTTGATTCTGTCTGGTTAGCACATATCCTCCTTCAACGTTGTTCAATTCGATATTCAATTCGGTTTGACTAATGAGAAAAAACGATTTGTCCTTGCTCTGACCATTTGACAATGGTCAACATTTCAGAGGAAGATATTCAAGCGTATATACTGAAGGTTTATGATTTATTTGAGGTATGGAGTCCCTTTTATTCATCTCACCATTGCAGAAAGAAGACAAATGCTACGCGATGTTAAAATTTTGTTTAATCTTCTCAGCCGCTGACTTGAAACAAACAGGCTTAGCGATTGCTAGCTTGAGCAATTGAACATCCACAAAGTTGTCCTAACGAAGGGGCGAGAGTAAAATGATCCGTGCTGCACTAAATTTCTTCATTCTATTGACGTCCTGTGTCAAAAAATACAAAGCAGACTACTTTTCGCGATATGAAACTCAAAAGAATAACTGTTACAGCAAACGGTGTTGTTCGAAATGCTTTAATTGCAATCACGAAGGGAGTGGATTGTGTCTATCGAATCAAACGTATCATGTTTTAAATGCCCGAATATAAACGCGGCATCAGGGAATCCCATATTATACCTTTATCGGGCAGTAAAACCTTAAACAAGATAGACAAATGAAGTGAATTATGAAATCTAGCTCATTTTTACGGTGCATATGTGTGCAGCTGCACAGGGTATCGCACGCTTTTGGACACAAGGTGGGTTTGTTGTGAACCATCGAAGATGCCACGGACGCTCATTCCCTTTTGAAAAAAAGTGTTTAGAGCAATCAGTGATTTGCATCATCATGCATGTAAAGAAAGCTCCACTTTAACTCATCGAAACACAGTACTCTGGTAACAGCAGGTGCTCAAGTGGTTTACGGTTTCAACGGTTCAGTGGAAAGAACAGCTCCGATTGAAAAAATAGCTTATGATTTCGTTGCGCACAAATGCACAAATGGTCTCATGATCTCCATGGCCAGGCAATTTACCTTGATATGGAGCGGTCGATAGTGTTCAAAACCCCATCGCTAAACTAAATATATATTATTCAACGTTTAGCAGCCAGATTTACCTTGGGGGGCAACGTTTAGCGTTCTATGTCGGAGAGAGAGTCAATACGATAAAATAAAACCATCGAAGTGAAGCCACATAAAGAAGAGTTCCACGTTAATGTTTCCGAATTATCCGCCTGATCCAAAAACTGGACTAAAGCGTACAAGAGACTATAATAACTTAAAACTAAAAAAAAACGTGTTTTCGAGAATATAAATCACTGGTTTTGGTTTAGACAAGATGTTATAATATCGGATCGTATAGTGTTTGGAGAATGCTGAAATAGAGAATGAAATGTTTGCTAGAAATAAAGTTTAAAATATCACCCACAGGCGATTGTTTACCCGTCTAACTGAAGCGTATCACATCAGACAATGTGGATAATTTCAACTCCAAAATCGTCACACAACCAGAACTAATACGTAGGACCAGTTTAACTAGTCAGTTAGTTGTTTCATGCATACCGATTCTTATCCATCTGCTAAAATACAGCTTTTATCCATCTGAGGTAGTCACACATGAATGATCTGCAGATGCCAGACCCTGAATATCACTAACATCGATTGGGACGTCCAACTGGGTACTTTGATTCGCAAAATGTTCTGGCTACGGTATACCGTATTTAATCCCCGGCACTCCCAAATGGGCGGTGGTGGCCCGATGATAACATCACCAAATTATTAACCCGCGGATATGTGTTCGAATCCCACCACCACCACCGCCTGACTTCCCCATTGTGTGTTGAATGGCAGCCATTTGATTGGCCACTTCCCCCCTCCTGAGAATTGCACCATTGCAATTTCAATAAAACGAAGTAAGATTTAAAAAAATATGTTTTCAAGTTAACTCCCCTTCCTTTTAGTGTCCTAATCTACGTGGAGAAGCCTATATGAAAGGTTGTTTGTATTTTATCAACATAAAACGGCTTCTTCCTCCTCGCATTGAAAGTGTTGGTTTTTTCACTCTCTTTTGACACGCTTGCTGCGTATGTGTCTGTGTGCGCGCTGGCTGCACCACACAACACTCGGTCGCCGGCTGCTCTGCTGACAAACAGGTTTCTATATGGTGGAACCAAGTGGTTTCAAGACAAGTGGCACGGAATAGAATCGCTCTCACACAAACTTGTTTCCCTGAAGGTAAACATATGAAGTTTTGCAATTGCATGAATACAACATTGTGCATAGTGCACTGGCGTTGTCTATACACTACTAGTTACAATGAATAAGCGGTTGAATGGAGCTTTTCAACAATTTGACAATGTTGTAATTATTGTCCAGAAGCGGACACTATCTCAAATCCTTCCTTGTTGTGATCAATAATTAACATACTTTCAATGCTTTCATGCTAATAACGCACATAATAAACTAAGTCAATTATAAAACCCTGCTCCATATGGCATACCATTTTGAAGCATATCCCTTGAATCTTTCCATATTCTTTGTCCCAGTTTAAGACTGTCGGAGTAAAAAAGTACATTCAAACTGAAAAATAAAACCACCGATGTTTTTGGTGCAAAGTTTCACAGACATTTAATATCTGCATCTGGACCAATACTTTAAAGCCAAAATGTAATTAACTTTCGAATACTTTTAGCCGATAATAAATGTATCAATCTGACCGATAGACGAATAACGGCAGCTGTAAGCCATAGTTTTGGTCCCACGATTCACTTCAAGTTTAATCTGTTGTACCTGGGTCGTGACCTATTTAAAACATGCTCAGCTTTCCAGAATTAAACTGGGGCACGCTCGCAATAAGCACCACTTTATGATACCTGCAAACTTTCTATCAGCTTAAATCACAACATATTTTGAGCTGCAAAGTCTGCCAATTTTCTTCTTATGAATATAGAGATGTCATGAAATAAAAAACAGCAATTATTGACTAGAGGGTAAAAACAAATATTTAAAGTAAGATTGATCAAACAAACTTTGAATTGCTTTGCTGAATCAAGTTTTTGAACAAAAAGTAATACGTAATCAATAACAATGATAAACGGCCAACCAAGAGTGATTATCTCGGTTGTTAGAAGCCGTCCAACATGAGGCATAACGCAAGTGCAATAACATCACGTATATAATTGAAATTGTTCATCTCTGGCTACTTTAAACAAGAAGAACCTCGAAAATGCGGAATTGTGAACGGCCACTGCGGAGGTGGAAATAATTTTGTCACATAATATTGATGCAGCTTCGTTATTATTATGTTCGATTACATGAAAGGCGAGTTTAGAACACATCGGTGATTTTGGTATTATAAAAGCTTTTTCCATACTAGTACCACAGACGTTATGCAGGCTGTCCGAAAAACTTGTTCGTTTTTTTCAAAATGTACGTAGAGATGGGTGGACTTTTATACAAT